GGTCTAATAGAAATCTAAGAACAAATCCTCAGTGTAGCTGAATTAATGGCTCTTAAAAAAAAAAAATGTATATCTTTATTTTGAAATTGATGCCGAAGCTCCTCAACAATGAAATTAAAACACAGAATAGTAGTAAATCCGGCATCCATTCTTTGCCTGCTTTGTCTGTCAAATGTCACGGTTGCTAGGCGAAAGAGCGAGTGAGCGGCGGTGGACGCTGGAGAAGATTGGACTTGTTTTAATCTATAGCCAAATTTTTCCGGCCTCCTTATTTTCATGGCTTTCAAAGGACCCAATCCACGTTGACCAGGTCTTTAGAGGACACAGCCGCTGGAATCGAACACATCCCTGGTATTCTGCTGTGCTTGCGAGTTGTTGTTCTTCTTCGCTGGTGGATTGATAAACTACAGTAATTCCTCCATCCTATCACCTAATGTTACTTCCACTTTATATAGCGCTCTCTGCTGATGACGAAGGACTCGGTTCCACAACTGGTCGAAACAAGAGACGGTTGATATCTAAGCCCCAATGCTCTGAAGCTCATGAACAGAGTTTCAGGTGGTGAAAAAGAATGGCTTGTTTTAGCATTTTATTATTGTCTTGTGGGTCTCTTATATGTTGTAGTCTCTCCTCTGTTGCTGGTAGACATGAAAAAAACACCTTATGTGTCAATTTCTGTGTGTTGTTACCGGGCAATGTAAAATGGTTTAAAACCACCTCTTCAATCTCATTCTTAGTCTCTATACTCTTGACAACTGTTTGATGAGGTTCCTTGAGCTAAAAAAAAAGTTGTATATAAGGCTTTCAATTTGCCTCAACATTTAACTCAGCAACTGTTTCTGTTTGAGCCGGGGTTTTTTTTTTACACATAGCAGACCACATTAAATTAATTGTCCTGCTATAAGTTACTTTTGAGAAGATCCTGCAGTTTCCTGGTTACCTCACTCTGGGGAATCCCTATTAGTGCTTTCTCTAATGTGAGCTTGACATCCATTTTTACTTAATCCAAGGGCTGCTTATCTTTTATTCCAAATAAAAAGTCTGTCCAATTTTATTTCTCTGTAGTGCTCAGCAGCAACAATGTCCTGCCAAGGTATACAGGGATGTCTTTAATCGTCAGCTCACTTCTTTTTGCCTTTTATCAAACTGCTTGTTTAAAATTAAGTTTCTCCTTACAACTATAAATGCCTCCTCATCAGTCAGGGTCAGGTCTCCTTTGAAGTTGTAAAGTTTTATGGTGCATTCAGACCAAACACAATTCCAGTGTTCTCCGTAGGGAGTAATTAGCATCTTATCCCTATGTAGAGGTGCATTCAGGAGCACCGTGGCGTCGAGGGCATTATATTTTTTATTATAAATACAGCACTGCAGCTTGCTCAAGGTCCAGCATGTTCAGGTGAAATCAGCAAAGCAGCAGATAACAGCTTCTCCACTTCGATGTTGCAGTGAATCGACAGGAGTAGAGCTTGACCACGCCGTGCTGGTAATATGTCAAACAAACATCAGCACTTTTAATGTGGCAAAAAAATTGCTGCAATCGTGTTCAAGAACAGTGGAATATATAAAAGTCAATGTATAGGTAAAAGTAGTCTATGTATTCAATCTGAGCTTTCACAAATGTTTGTAAAACATTTACATAGTTGCAAGAACACATAAACTTTTCATTTTATTTTGTTTTATACTTTTATTAAAATTTTTAAGAGCCTGTTTGATATTGTTTTTGCTTATCTGAGTGCATTTTGTCTGCTTTTGTCCAATATAATTTATATTTTTTTATTCATCATTGCTATTTTATTTCTGTGATGTGACTGTTGCAGATTGTTCCTACAGCTGGAACTAAAAAGAGTAAACATTGACACCCAAAAAAACAGGCTGAAATTGGAAGGCAGACGGACATTCTCTCTCTTTTTTTATTATATTTCGACATCTATCCAAGAGTCTTTGTTGTTGTCAAAATGAAAGTCTAGTTGGTTTACAATTTAAGTCTGTTTTCTGCTTACAATCACCCGGGTGACTGAGAATTTGCAGACAGCCTCGACACCTTCACTGTAAATAAACATCACACTTTACTCTATTTCTTTTGTAACCCTAGATAATGCACGCAGATAGTAGACTTAAACAGCACAGCCAGAGCTACACGATCTGCAGACATGGTGGGGGAGTAATCTGATCATCAAATTATTGATTGCAGCAATCCATATGAATGACAGAAATAAAGTACTGGAAAAGTAATCTTGCTAAGGTCCCTATGGAGGCTTTGGCCCGACCTTCCCCAGAAGCCAGCAATAAAAAAAAAAAAAAAAAAAAAAAACATTATTGTAATTTGTTTCCTTTCACTTTTAAAGGGTTTTTTACTTTTCAAAATAGCTTAAAATATTTTAATTGGTGCAAAAGTGGTTTTAGTATTTTAATTAAAATGTGAAAATAGACAGTTTAAATAAAAAACAACTCTCAGATTTTGTCATTTTCCACCCCTTCCCATAAATGAAATCCTGTATTTACTTATCAGATAAGCTTTGCCACTAAAGGTACATTCACGTGGTGTCTGCGGGGAGGGCAGTGGATTTACATCCCTATGCAAACCACCCAGGGAAGAGTGGGAAGCCAATGGTGAATTGACAGAATAGAGGTGTTCAAACAAACAGAGGCAGTTCAAGAGAGTGGAGCGGTGATCTCGCAGGTTAAAAATTTTCTATGAAATTGCACTGCAGCAATGAATCAGGGAACATTATGATCTAAAGTATGTTGAAGAAAACTGCAGCTGAGAAAAAGCTTGTCTCGGTCAAAATGGAATATAGAGAAAATTATTTTGAAAAAGATGAAAAAACAAATGCTCTAAAGAGCTTTTTAGGTGGCTTGTAAAAAAGCAGTTTTATTAGCCTTGAAAGGATTGTGCATTCTCCCTTACCTGCAGTGCAGACACCGACCAGCAGCCCCTCTCACAAGCACTGGTGCAAGGATGTACTGCTGAATCCACCTGACATGATGAAACAAAGTTGATGACTTTTTTTTAGTGCTACCGAACTTTTACTAAAATTGGTTGTGTGTTCAAAAGTTGTGCATTAAGAACAATTTAGCAGCCATCTGTAATGTTTATTTTTAACCTATGCTTTTATTTAGAAGTGCCAATAAAAATATCAGGACAGGAAATGCTATGAGATTCCCTGGGGTAATGGTAGATACAAAGTTAAGACTCTGGGCAGATCATACAAAGTGTTCTATCTAAGGAAAACCAATTGATTGCAGTGAGTCACTGACTCTTAAGCAATCCCTTACACTGAACATGCATGAAGCGACAGTGGAGAGGAAAAACTCCCTTTTAACAGAAGACACCTCCAGCAAGGATGGTTCAAGAAGACAAATGCAGACATAAGGAAGCAGACATACAAAATGCGACTGTGAGCAGGAGCACCAAACCCGTCGTACACTTTTACATAAAATGTGGTTGAACACCCAGACATTTCCTATTGCACATCTCTTTCCTCCATGTTGCTCTTGCTTGTATTTGGTCCTCCCTCCTTTTCCTTGTATTCTCCTTCTCCTTCTGCTTCCTAAAACCAGCTGCTGAATGGCTGTTCCACCTTCAGTCCCCCTTCATTTTTCTTTCCAGGTAAAAAACAACTTATGTTTTAAGTTCAGCCTCACAGCATTTTATTAAATTCGATTCCTGTCTTTAGTGCTGCTCCTTTCTGCGATTTAAGATGATGATGTAGTACCTAAAAGCTGTATTCAAGTAAGAGTAGAATTACCTAAACATAATTTTACTCAAAAACAATAGACTTTTTTGTATACACAGATTGTATACACAGATTGTATACAAAGTGAAATTTTGATACTTACAGCTTTTCGACATTGAATGAGCAGCAGCGTAGCAGAGAAAATGCACATTTCTACCAGTAAAAGGGTATAGTCTAAGAAATTACTAAAGAGTATAAAAGTTATTAGGTGAAAATCAACTAAGTGATCATAATACTCAATTTAAAACTCATTACATTTTACTAAATCAGGTTTACATGTTTAGGTGGATAACCAATTATATGTAGATTTGTATTTGTTATAAACATGTTGAAGAACTCTGATTGCTTACTAAGGGATTGCTTTCTTACAATGGATTTGTATTTCTTACCATTAATTTATATGCCAAAAAAAATGTTAGGAAAACTGTTGGTGAAAGACGAATATGTGTTTTAAGAAAACGATATGGCAGTAGTTTTTACAAGTTTTTAGACTCTCATACTTGTTAAAAACAACAACAACAAAAAAATCTTTCCATTTCATTTAAAAAAAATATTACATGTAGAGGGAAATGACAGTAAGTGGCCATGATTAAGGCTGAGGTTAGGTTTGAAACCCCATTCCAACCGCCCTCAGAGCCTACAGTCACTGTAGTCTGTCAGTTAGGGGCTTTGCCTCTTCAGAAATCACCAAAAAATTAAGTAAATAAAAGCTAATGCCTGACAAAAAGACTGCACAGATGATGGTTCTGGGTCTTCTTTATTGTTTAAAACATTTAAAAAATACTTCAGAGTCCAGCGAAGTATAATTACCTTGCTATATTTACCATAAAAAAATATGTTTCTGTTGATTAGATAGGGTGCCGGTAAATTCCATCAAGAAGAACGAAGATATTTCACCATTCAGTTTAAAGGCTTTTAACAATTTTTGCTCCACTATAAACATATTCTTGCAAACCAGTGCATTGAATGCAGATCTTCAAGTTGTATTTGTGCATATTGGCCTGTTTAGAGGCATGAATCACGTTCTTCATGAAGGATGTGGTTTCATTGCTTTTCTTTCCCCCTTGTGCTTCACATTTTCTATAAGCCACTGCATTTACCAATTCTATTTTTGCACGAGGTAATGGTTGAAATTTTGCATCGGTGTGCACACTTGCTATAACCTGAAACTAAAATGCTGACCTGAAAATAAAAGGCTGAGAACTTCCTCATTATGTATAGACTCACATTTATCTTGAGAACAAATAACTGACACGGGGCACCATGAACACTGGAAAAGTAATTTACACATCGTTGGAAATCCTCATCGCTGTTAGTTGCTGTGTGGGAAACATGTTGGTTGTTTTGGCTTTGTGGAAAACTAAAAGTATCCAGCAGCCCACCTTCTGCCTTATTGTCTCTCTGGCTGTTGCTGATGCCCTGGTTGGTTTTGTTGCCATACCCCTGGCTGTGGTGGTGAATGGGCATCTGCAGACCTCATTCCACAGTTGCCTCTTCATCAGCTGTGTTGTCATCCTTTTGACCTTAGTTTCAGTCCTGTGTCTGATGGCTATTGCTGTTGATCGCTACCTACGGGTCTATATCCCTCTGCGGTAAGAAAGATTTTTTTCCTTTTAGCAAATTACAGCAAAGGGCATTGAATCATCTGAAACATTTATATCTTAATCATTAAGATTTTCTGTTATTAGTACATCGACTTCAAGCTTGACATTGGGGATTTTATGTTTTTTTTTTTTTTTTACAATTCAGAATAATTGGAAATGTGATGAATCTCATATTCATTTGGGGCTTTCAGTGGTAGATAAAGCTTTTTTCATATTTCTTGTTTAGATATATTTGGTAGATTTGTTTTTTAAAATTCTTTAGTTTACTGAGAACATTTTGGGAATAGTTTTCATCTTTCAAATCTTTACAGTAAGGATTTCTCAAAAACTGACTGGTTGGGTGATCATTTTTTATTTTTAGGAAGGTTACCTTTTATGAATATCAGGATTTTTTTTGTCTCAAATGCACTTATCAGGCTTTCAGTTTTAGAATTACATCAGTTCACCACTTTTTGTTGTAAGATGTATAATTTATTACCTAGCACATTGTACCACTAAGTTCAAAACATTATGCAAAATGGTAAGACCTGCCAACTTGCTTTAGAAGCATGTTTTACAGCGTGAATTAAGTTTCATTTTGAATTTAGGAAAATTACCAGAGGGGATGTTTAAAATGAAAGATGCTTTTTGTGACACATTTCTGTCATTTTTTTTAATTGTGCAACTTAATGGCTAAAAAAAAAATGTAATGAATCAAAACTTTTATGAAAAAATTAAGCTTTTTTTGGCATATTAATCTTCTGTATTAAGTGAAAGAAAAACACAGTTCCTCTATTTGTACCATTTCATCCAAGTTGTGCAATTAACATCACTCAGCATCACCTTAACACTGGATTATTATTTTCATTTTTATTAAATTATGTGGCCTCTATGTTCCCAGCAAATAAACAATTTATATCAATATGGAAATCTATGTTTTGATTTGTTTTTTAAATGTGTTCCAAAGTGTCCTTAAAATGTATCAAGGTGTCTTCAACAGGCTCCTCTATCAGACAGGAAATTCAATATGTTTTTCTATTCTTACGTTGAAATAGAACGGTATGATTGAAAAACAGAACCGACTTAATGTTTCATATCCTCGAGGGTGAGTACATTTCTGACTGGAGCTTGATGTCTTTTCTTACAGGTACAAACAGACAGTAACCTGGAGACATTCATATGCTGCTGCAGCTATGTGCTGGCTCATTGCAGTCCCTCTGAGTTTTACTCCTATGCTCGGATGGCATAACCATCCTGACTCTCTTAATTCTACAATTGTCTGTAATTTTGTTGATGTGATTCCCATGGACTACTTGGTTTATTTCAGTTTTTTTCTCTGCAACCTGACACCTCTGCTGGCGATGACTGTGTTGTACAGCTACGTCTTCTGCTACATCAGGGGAAACCTGAAAGACAAACCAGGCAACGGTGCTCGAAATCATTCACTTAGCTACCTACGCAAAGAGAAAAGGCTGGCATCATCTCTGTCTCTGGTTTTGGCCCTGTTTGCCCTGTCTTGGCTCCCTATTCACATCATGAATGTCATTGTTTACTTTCGAGGAAAAACTGCTGTACCATATGCAGCTTTTTACATTGGGATTCTGCTTTCCCATGCTAATTCAGCAATCAACCCGATAGTGTACGCATTCAAAATCAGAAAGATCCAGACAGCTTATGTGAGGATTTGGAGAAAGTTTGTTCTGTGTTCAGGAGAAAACCAAGGCTTTCAGGCAAGCCAGACAACAGACAACCCCAGCAGTAACATCAGAAGTATTGACAATGATGAAAGGCTGAACTAACTTTTTGAGCATTTTTACTGTATTATCCATGTTTTTGAATAAATGAAGTGTATTATATAAATTTTCTAACAAACATGTACTTTATATCAGGATGTTTTTTTAATGTTTCTCTTTTTTATTATTTCTTGCATAATAATTAACAGAATTTTGCTGTTTCTCCATGTTCCAATTGTGTTGTATTCCAATTGTATACATTTCTGTGCTTTGTAGGAACTCTGCATTATTGCATAAACTTACCTTTTATTATTTTTATCTCTTACTCTTTCAAATGGAATAAGACTCAAAACAGCATTAAATTTTGATGAACCTTTGCCCTTTCTGTATTCCCTCTAGTAAAAAGGCTAACTCAGAGGGTCAGTCCCTGTTTAGACTTTACAAAGTTAACTTTTAAAACTAATTATGCAAAGAAAAAAACATGAAAAACAAAATAATCGGCAATACTACAATGACAAATAAACATATTTTAACATAAAATAATTCCACCCCTCATGCTGCTATCCTACTTTAAGACCAGTGCTGATAATTCAGCCAAAAAAGACTTAAGACTTCAGCGGTAGTGTGAAACCCAACAAACGAGACATGATAGCGCTGGCCCCACTGAAAAACACATCTTTGGGTTACTATCCTAAAAAAAATTGATTGGTTATGATTTTAAAGTGATATTTACATCAAGGCTAGGCATCAATGATGAAGAGTCAAAATATAATGTTTTTTTAACCACTGTGTGAAGCGACATATTTAGGAAAGTGGAGGACAACTTAAATGCTCTCCTCCATGCTGAAAGTGGTTGCAGGCTGCAGTATAGAGCACACTCTGACTGTTCAGTCAATGAACTCTCGCTGATTGTTAAGTTCCATACATTAGTCAAAGAAGAACCTGTTTTAACTCTTTTTAAGCTTAGGTGTGCACGTCTTGAAATTTCACATATATGGATTTTGCCAGTGGCCAGCTGGAGAGAATGTCAACAACAAGTTTAACAGTAAATGAACAGAGAGGGAACGACTCCTGCAGAAGGATTATTATTTCAGTTGAAAAACAGATTTGTTCTTATATTAAATAGACTACTGAAAAACTCTTACAGTAAAAAGATCTTTATGAAAACAGTATTTCTAATTTAGTGAAAGACTAAACCAGTCATCTCTGGAAAAGAGAAATGATATCTTGTCTGTAGCTATTATAATGTCTGGAAACCAACGCAAAGGTGATTTGCAGACATCACACGTTTTAGGGAGAACAGATTTCTCACTTTATTTCAAGAAGGATATAGCGTGTATGGAAGTACGGTAAAAAAATATGGCTGTTTTGACTCACCACACACCACATTCTCCACAGACGCAAGCAGGCAAAAGGTTGCAGATAAAGGCAGTCTGTTCAAAGGTGTATTATGAAACCACTTGTTTTGCAGTTGCTGGTTAAATGAAAGCTCAACCACAGGGCCACTCTGCTTACAGCTTCTCTTGTAAAAGACCATACTAACTTAATAGTTATCAGTACAAAGTACATGTTTAAGCTTATTAGAAATAACAGACGACCATTTAGCAATATTGCAATCAGTATCTACATACAGTAATGTAGAAAAATGCATACAGACATAGTTTAAAAGCTAGGACTCTCTAAGTGGGTGGTACAATGGTGCACGGTAGCTGGATTACCTTGCAACAATAATGTCCAGAGTTTTTAGGAACTTTTTCTGGAACACAAATAAACTAAACTATTGGGCTAATTGTGAATCTGAAAACATTTCTGAACTTTGAATTTCTGTTCTTTATTTCACTTTTGCTTGTTCAAAAGCTTGTTTTGGTTTCCCTCATGTCTATACTGTTTTATTAATTTAGTGATTAGAAGTGTATTCCAACAAAATGCCCTACCTATGTTCATAATAAATTCCCTTTTTATGACTAACCAATAATTACTAACTTATGTTGTATAAGCTTATGCGGGGTGGATGCTATGTAGTTGTACATGAAGCTTTAAGAAATCAGTAAATCAATAAAACTTACAAACCAAAATCCAGTCACAAACCTTTAAATCTAACTTAACTATGGTATCTTTTTGCAGGTTTTAACTGGAAGCCAAACACAGTAAAACTTTGCAGAGCAACTTGCAAGATAGGTTGTTTAGGCATTTATTTTAAGGTTTATACGATTTCACAAACATTGTTTTAAGAGTAGGTCTATAGCATTTAGTGTGAAGTCACAGGTGAATGAATACATCTGAATGAAGGTTTATGTTAAACAGTTTCAGTCCTAGTCTGCAGCCACCTTTCATGCAAAAACATTTCTCTTTACTGATATTGTGAATGTGGGAAAGGAGGATCTTTATAAAGCTACCATTGAGCAATTATTGTTCTACTTCCACCCCTCATTCATCAGTTACAGTAAAGTAATTGTGCCCCCTCCCAGTTTGCAGATAAACTTATCAATTTGTGTGTTTGGAGAGTCACTGACACTGCTGTTGAAACACATCTGACTTTAGTATTTTCACAATCCTTTACTGGCATTTTTAACGTTGACCATCCAAAAGTGAACCTTATAACTTTTGTTTTAGTTCATCTAAACTGAAACGGCTATGGTTTTCAAAGTGGGATGTATGGTGGCAATCTTTTTACTGTAGGTCTGTTGTCTTCCAGCAGGAATGTCCTAGGATTTCAGCAGACGAATCAAAAGCACTCACATGGTTTAAGTAAAATTATAGAAAACTATATAAAAACACTTTGGTAAGTAAAAGTCCTGATTAACAGTGATGCATGTGGACTGGTTTTAATGGGCGGTGAGACTATCTCAGGGGGGGTCCACAGACTGTGAGAATGATTTTACTTCACAACCATCTGCAATTTTATTGCCTTTCAGGAAAGAAAAAAAAAGGCTTAGAAATTTTAACTAAGATGCTGTTTTTTTTTTGTTTGTTTGTTTCTTTTTGTGGGGAAAAAATGACTTAGAAATCTAAACCAAGATTTTTTTTTCTCATTTTATTCGTGGATAAAAAAGATGACTTTGAAATGTTAACCAAGATTTTCTTTTTTCTTTCGTTAGAGTGTTAGTAGAGAGAATAATAAAAGACTTGGAAATGTTGGTGAAGAAAAGTTTTTCACTGTTGTTTGATGTCAAAAAGTTGCCCAATAACTTTTTACTTTGGCAGCTAAACCTGAAATATTTAAAATAAAACTCGTAAGTAAATAAAATAATAATTAAGCATTCATATTTAAATTTACCTCATTTTATTTCTTACATCCATATCTAAATTATTCTGACTACATATGATAAACATTTACTGACAGTAAGTTTCAGGGCAGAAATAAAAAGAGAAAAACTTAGAACTTTTCTTACCCAGATTTCTTTTCTCATTCAACTTTCGAGGTAAGAAAAAAAAAAAAACTTAGAACTTTTGTTATCTAGATCTTCATTTTTTTTCTCACTTGCATTTCAGGACTTCTGTAAGTTTATCTAAAACGTAAATGCGCTTAAGTATACAAAGGTGATATGAAGTTTGTCAGAATTTGCCATTTTTTTCCTATGGATAAACTTTACATGCACAAGTTCACCCTCACAATCAATTACAGGTGCTTAGCTCCAGGTACTCAGAGATTCACTTCCATACAGAAACCCCACATTCATATCTTCAGGTAACACAGAGTACATGTCAGACTTAATAATATTACTTTAGCGATAGTTTCAAGGTGTTGCTTTATTGTATGTCTCGTACTATGTCTTTCGGTTGTGCTGTTCTTTTTTCATCTCGTTACAGATGATGAAGCAGACTGAAAATGTTTTGTCATTATTTTCTTTCTATCTCTTCTTTCTTTCATCTTTTCCCTTTGTTTTTTTTCTTTTCTTCTTCTGTTTTTCTGCTCTATTTACATTGCAGTGTCCATATAAACTGTAAAACTCCCTGCAGAATTATAATAAAGCAATTTATATGCATGAAACAAGTGGAGCAGTATGGCAATTGCTGTACTGCTACACTTGTGAAAGTAAAATCTGTTGGGCTCTTTTTGGCATCAAGACAATTATTCTTATTGCCACATTGCCAGACAGGACACTGTAGAAAAAAAAAAAAAAAAGAATTTGCCATTTTAACACAATGTAACGAAAATATATATCTAAAGTAACACACACAGTAAATGGGTGCTTGAATATATTGAAAACAGATGATCATTTACCATTTTGTCAAAGAAGCCATTGTTGGTGCAAAATTTGTTAAATATTTCTTTTTTGTTTTTTTTGCAAGATTGTAATTTTCATTGCAACTCCTAATCATTGATTGAGAGACATTAGTTTCTCTTTTCCTTTATGAAATGGACCGGGAGGATTTTTTTTTTCTGCTAACATGAAAGCAACTAAGTAACTTTTACTTAGTTACATTTTCTTAAGTCCATTTTACTTTTATTTCAGTAACGTTTGCACTGGAAACTTTTCTTCTATTTGAGTAGTTACTGTATCGGAGAAACGCAGAGATGTGCACTTCATCAGTGCAAACTTTGAGTTTCTGTCCTGTGATAAAATTTGACATAAACTATTTAATATTTATGGTGACAAAAACCTAACTTGTAAAATCTTTTAGAACAACTTGTAAGGGAGGAAAGTTTTTTAAGCATTTTTTATTATTATTATTGGTGTATAATTTCACAAATGCACTTTTAGAGAAATAAAATACAATTTTGTTTTAAATGACACAGACATTGAAATATTTTTAGAGTTTTATTTGTAAAGTTGAAGTCCTGGTCTCAAGCCAGGTTTCATCATACAAACAAATATTTTAAACTAAGAACTGATGTAAGACTGAAGTATGTTTGAGAGACAGTTGAATACATCTTGTTTACTGCTTTTCATCCGTTCATACATTCTGCTCAAGAAAGCCAAAGACTGGTCATCAGAGAGGTCCCCCATGTCCTGGCAGTTATTAAAATCTGAAATAGAGTAGAAAATGACTATTATTTATCAGAATTAAACACATTAGTGTGTGTTTTAATGCAGCTAAAAAGCCAGATGTCTTACCCAGGTCTGTATTTAGGATCTGTGGTTTGGAAAACTGATTGCACTGTGCCTGCGTCTCAAACTCCTTCAGCTCAGCTTCACTGACGGCTGTTCTCCGACCTGTTAAAAACGATGTAAGAGAAAAACTGTGCAATTAGATCAAGCAAAATCCTGCAAAAAGTTTTCATCCAAAACAGATAGTATGAATTTTTTTTTCTGTAATTAAAAGATAACGGCCTTGCAGTTTGCAATGCTGTTTTGTAGCAACAAGGTCCTGGGTCCTATTCGTGGCCTAGTGTCTTGCTGCATGGAATTTAGATGCTCTCACCATGAATGCATGGGCACTCCAGCTGTGTAGGTGTGTGTGTGTGCGTGTGTGTGCGGGGGTGTAGGTGGGGGGGTGGGGGGGGGGGGGGTGTTGTTTGGGGGGGTGGGTTGGGCGGGGTTCTATGTTTGTGTGTGTCTCTATTTTGCTCTGTGATAGACTGGTGACATGTCCAGATTGTAACTTGGCTTTCACCCATAAACTGCTGGAGATACAGCAGGCACCAGCCTCACTGTAAATGTGTCATGGAACATCGTAAAAAAAACAGGTAACGAAAGAACTGTCTCCTGTTTATTTGTAGTGATCTTAACCTCCACATTAAACCTGGAAATACTTCCACTTTAAATATATAGTGGAGGATTTCCTCAAATTTTTGAAAAGACCCGCACTTAAAAAAAGAAATGCACATGCACAACCCTGCACCCGCTCCTGAGAAGGAATGCCTATTAAATGTGTGCGAGAAGCCCACTGTGCACAAGCCCATTCCTCCTTGTGTAGGACGACCTTATGTAAACATATCACTAGAATGATTGACAAGTAGGGGAACACTTACATTGATGATCCAACCGGAAAAAGAACATCGTCCACTATACCTTTAACTCGTAACATCATCTCCCATTTGTCAAAGCAGCTAGTACAACTAGAAATGAAATGCAAGGTTCTGCCATTTTAGTTTACATTTACTATATGAATTTGTTTTCCTTACTGAGTAAAGAAAGAGTGCTCATAGTAGTGTCGTTGTCCATTACAACAATGCAGTCAGAGCAGCTGGTGTGCAGCAGTACATCTGGATCACCAATTGGAGCATCTGTTAAGAAAAGTGTGAAGGATTGCAGTGCATGAATGCATAGTATATTTAACTGTCCATTACAGTTCTAAAGTTCCTTCAAAGTAAAAATCAATACCTGCTGGAAGAGATTAGCATGAATTCTAATAAACACCCACAATTAACAAATTAAAGATATGTGGAGCAACAGCTTAGATTTGAAAACTTCTGTGTTGTATAAGTTGTTTCCCTCTTTCTGTTCACATTAATTAGATTCACAGTCCAAAAATATTATATAGCATATAATGCATCTTAGAAAATACAAACTGTTCTGAATTCTTAAGTTAAAAATATTTCAAAAAATAAAACTCTTACTTTCACTGTTGACACCAAAGATTTTACTGTTCTCATAGAAATACTCCTCAGATTCATTCACGCAGACGCCATACCTGGAAAAAATCCATTTTAACATTTGATACAAGATTAAAACGTGCATAAATTATATTATAAAAGTACAAAACAAAATGAAGATTTCTCACAGTTTAGCTCTCACTTGGACAGCATAGTGCTTTGGTGTCTCTTTAGGAGCAATGTCTACTTCAACACTTGGCCAAATAATGCTATTTAAAAGCACGATAGGGAGGCAGACCTTTGTTGATACAGCTATGTAGTGCCACCTCCCAGACAACTAAAAGAAAAGAATATATACATTTGTGAAGACATTCTAAAATCATAAGGCTAAAAAATATTCTGTGATTTGTTTGAAATTACATGGAATAATAATAAAAAACAAAATGTTGAAGACTACTTTTACTTACATCTGGACTATTTTCAATTTGCGTTGCCAGTTTATCGCAGACCAGGGGTGCAGGCTGACATACTGAGGCAAAACTCAGCACAACAAAAACCCAGAGAGTATTCATTGTGGATCATATACAGTCTTTTCTCTATTCCTCAGTTCTGTTTTATAAAGCAACCAATGACCAATTATAGTTCTGCTACCTTCGCCACCCCTTCGTCAGTGACAGTAAAGTGAATGTAACATTTCCCGTCTGTTAGCAGATCAAGTAATCAATTTTTCTGTTTGTAGAGTCAATGACACTGCTGCTAACATACTTCTGTATTGCTACTTTAATATTTCCACAACCAGCAAGATATAAAACATACATACATATAATATGTATACAGGATATGTTAATATAGCTAAATGCAATCCAATCCACTTTATTTATATAGCACGATTTCAATAAACACAAGGTTTCCAAAGTACTGCACAAAAAAGATAAAATAACTAAAATAAATAAAAGTAAATAAAATAAAATAAAAGCACTGCCCGCGCACGATAAAAATATGCATGTGTATACATAAAATCAACACGTGTATGCATAAAATCAACACGTGTATGCATAAAATCAACATGTGTATACATAAAATCAACACTCTACATGGTGTCAAAAGCCAAAGAAAAGAGGTGGGTTTTAAGAAGAGTTTTAAAATGAGACAGAGAGTTGGCCAGTCTAATGTGCAGTGGCAATCCATTCCAAAGTTTTGGAGCTGCAACAGAAAACGCTTGATCCCCTCTGAGCTTAAGCCTTGCTTTAGGCACTGTCAGGAGCAGCTGATCAGCTGACCTGAGAGATCGGCTGGGAGTGTAGGGGTGCAGCAGCTCAGAGAGGTAAATTGGGGCAAGGCCATTCAAGGCTTTAAAAGTAAATAAAAGAATTTTAAAATGAATCCTAAGACGAATGGGCAGCCAGTGAAGTGAAGCTAAAATACGTGCAGCAGCATTTTGAACCAGTTGAAGACGAGCAATTGAGGACCCAGTAATCCCAACATAAAGTGCATTACAGTAATCCAGCCGAGTGGTCACAAAGGCGTGGATTACTGTCTCAAAGTCCTGTCTCTGAAGGACTGGTTTGATCTTTGCCAGCTGCCTTAACTGGAAAAAGCTAGATTTCACTACAGCTAAAACTATGTATCTATACATAAAATTAGTGATGCACTAATATGATAATTTGGGCAAATATCATTATTAAATATGATTAATGGTTGATAAACAATATTTACCAATATCATCCATTTACTTATCAAAAAAAAAAAAACATAGCTTCTTTTCCTCAGCTAAACACCCACAATCCTGGGCTGCATTCCAATCGTTGTGAAGTCAAGGCCTGCGGGCCGAATTGTTTATCCATGGCCCCCTGGATGATATTTAATCACCATTAGAACCAGGCCACGACCGCTTGTGCGCGATGCTGTGACTTCGCAAGGTACTGTTGCATTGTGGGGAATGTAGCATTGGTGCGGTTTTGCTGCACGCACCAACTCTACATTCCCAGGGGAAAGCATGATTGTGTTTTTTTATTTCATATTTTAATATTGTTGTGCTTTGCATGTTTGGATTGTTGTGATTTTTGCTTTCCCCTCTTTAACAATCCAAGCTGGGCTGAAGTCGGTTGTCCAACAACCTGCAGGATCAGCTCTGCCCCTCCCTCCATCCAGGCTCCTTTTATTTTGGCTTCAATCAGCCCCTGCTGATATCTGCGTGCAGCATTTGAAGAACCTCTGGCTGAATTCTGGGTCCGCTGCCGTGATTCATCACCAATTTTTTTACATGTCTTTATACAAAACGTGTTTTTTTACTGTTTTGTCTGTGCGCCATAGATTTTCGTATTTTATTTTATTTATTCATATTTTTCAGTTGAATGGACCCGGAAAAATGCAGATAAGAGCCATGAGAGCGAATACAACTGACTTTTGCTTTTTTTATATTTGAGAGCAGTGATCGGTAGGATCATAGAGCAGCACAGTAATGCATTTTCTGTTTATAATGCATGCACTTTCATTTATGTATTTAAGCTGGGCTGCAGTGGTTTTGGTGGAGTCACAGATGTTTACTATTTTGTAGCACAGAAACTCAATAAGGTCACTTGGGTTTGGCAAAAACTCTTCTTCAGTTATAAACTGTAAGGTGATATCAACACAAAACTCCTCTCCAAATATTTCCTTGAAGCAAAACCTGAAAAGGTGGTCAATAATTAGACATTGGTCATTCACAGGGTTGCAGATAAACAATACTCATCCAGGGATGCAAGCAGAGATTGTAGCCTGAAGGGCAAAACTTGGTTTGCTGTCCAGATATATGATTTACAGATAGAAACCACCAACTATAGGGCAAGGCAAGAAGCAGAAATTCATGCATGGAGAATCATGGCATGAAGAAACATGAATCATAACAATGATATGCTTAAAAATGAGTTATATCTGCAGATATTGATATGGATCCTAATATCATAGATATCTACCTAGAATAATAAATGGTTATAGAAAAGCATCAATTATGAATTTTACAAGTGTACATGCATAGGCAATATAGATACATGATCACACCAATTTGAATTCAATCCATATTAAGACTTTAAATGCTAACTGCAGTTACTCCCCGCAACCCCACAGCATTTCTGGTCAATGGTTATCTATTGGCACTTCATGATATAAGCATAGGTGAAACGAAACATTAATGACTACTGCTAAATTGTTCTCTATGCACACATTTTGATTGGGATTGGGGAGACCTACTATAAATGCAATCTCAACAGACAATGGAGTTTGCTCCATGAATGTGAGTCAAAGGACAGGTTTCTTTGCAGGTACTCCAGCTGATTAGGGGGTTGTCCGAAGGTGCCATTCTCCTCTCACACGTCTGTGAGCTCTCATCTCCTCCTTCTCTTTTCTTCTTGGTGGTTTTCACAACTTGGCTGGCAGCAGCTTGCCAGGCACTGCGATCATTTGCCAGCTTTTTAAAGGTCTATGGTGTAATCAGACATACCTTGAGATCTGGCTTCCACATGTCTTTATAGCAAAGAAAGGGTCTTCCTGGGGGTCTGGAGTCCAAACAGGAAATACGCATAGTGTAGAGCGGATGTAGATTTGACCAATCAGATGCCTCCTGTCTGCGGCACTGTCTGCAGTCACCTGCAATTTTGGAGAGGTGCACCAGAGTGTCTGCAGCAGGGGCGGGGGAACATTTGCACTCACTGCGACACACACACAGACAACCTGGTTTCTGAGTATAAATCAGCCTTAACATCCAAGACGAAAGATGGCTTTAATAATATGAAGGCTGTGCTGATTGAAGCAATGAAAAGGATCGACTATGAAGCTACAATGCGTTAAATGACATCCATGCAAAATTCAAAATCAGAGGCAAGATTGTGAGGACAAACACTGACAATGGTGCAAACTTTGTGAAGGCTTTTCAAGTACTTTGGGGGGGCGAAAACAACAATGAAGAGGGAGTTGAAGCTGAAGCGCAGTCTGAGGATGAAGGATACTGGAGTGCCTGAGGAAGATGTGGAATACATTGACACTGCAGCTCTGCTGCATGATGATGATGATTTTGAATTCCATCTGCCAAGACACCAACGCTGTTCTTGTCATATCCAAAACCTCATGGCCAATGAAGACTCTACAAAAGCAAACTCCAGTGATGCATACAAGAAGCTGCACCATGCAACGTTTGCCAAGTATTATGGCCTCTGGAACAAATGTGGAAGATCCACACTTGCAGCATTGATGGTCGAGAATGTCTGTTCTCCTTAACTTCTCTTCAACTGGGGTGTGGTGGGGGATCCCCCACTTAATACAGAATACTTACCTGCAGATTTTTTGGAACTTTTCTTTGTTTGGAGGGGGTATGGAAACTCCTTTTTAATTATATGTAAAATTATTTTCTTTTCTGTTGATTGAAAAGAATAACTTTTTTAGCATCATACCTATTTAATATGCAGTTTAACAAAATCGAAACATGAAAAAGTATGAAGTTCTGAAACATCTGTTTTGCTTTTAGGTTATTTTATTATAAACAAAAAACATAATCACATTTAGACAAATATATTGTAACTTACTTTTTCCATCACACACACCAAAATGGTGCAGCATACAAAGTTTTCAGATATGTAGTCATTTTAATTAATTAATTTTTTGAATTATTTCATTAAAATTAAACATCCATTAGTTCAGAATTAAACTTCTAGTGTTAAAAAGACCAAATATAGGGACATCTTCCAAAGACTTCAACATTTTAGACCACAAAAAGTAACTGCATAGTCTTCCGATAAAGGTTTCTCCAGGTATGGTGTAAGACAGACCCCTACAGGAGAGCCTTCCTGCCTACAGCTAATAAGATCAACCACATGTTGAATAAACCTACAAGTGTTACATCAATGTTTAATATCCCTTGTGGATCAATTAAGCATCTTTTTTTAAATAAGAATTGAATTTAAATAATGTCTACAAATGTATTTTGGACCCTAAATATTGTTTTTTAACATCACCAAGTAAATAAATCTATATGATGAGGAGGGAAAGAATTCTTGGTGAAAAGCATTAAAATGTTAAAGATTAATGCCTCAGTGTCTGTTTTTGCATATCTACAAAGAAATACCTAATGGAACTGTGTATATATTCACATTCTAATAGCAGCATAAACCAAAAACAGGTTAACATATAAGCACTACAAAGCTATAACTGAGAGAGGTGATTTATAGACTGACTCAGTTCATTATAGACACAGTGGTTTGTTTAGCTCTGAAAACATAATTTTAGACTAAAGAAAAAAGGTTTATGCAGTTGATAAATTCCTCATGACATCAATATTTAATTTGCAGACAAAGCAGGAATACAATAGTTCCTTATATATATGATATCAGGTATTGCTGGCTGTAACGGAAAAACTTAAACAATTTAAGATTAGTCAGGGTGATCATTTTGGATTCATATGATGGTTGTTGTTTTTTTGTTTTTGTTTTTGCATGTAAATACACCAGTTATGCTAAGTAAGTGATTCTCTTTGTTTTATTTGTCTCAAACACCAGTTTATGAAAAATTAGTCCTACAGTACCTTTTCAAACTGTTAATTTGTTTTTGCATTGTAATAGGAATTATACAAAATCAGCATTAGACTTGGAAGTCTAATCTTTTCACTTACCAGCCATATTC